TTGTGGGTCACTTGCATCACGTTGTGGAATTGACTGTTGTACACGAAAACTGCATTTAGAAATGAGCATTCAAATAAATATTAGATGATTATTAATCATGAAATTAAGCTACACTTGCATGTTTCAGCAGAGAAAATCGTTTTTGGTAATTCAAAAATCTTAAACGTCTTAACGAAGCTCAAAAGAGATTTAGATTTTAAAAACTGGTAGATTCAAAAGCTCAAACTCTTTTTTTTTTTAAGTGGTTGAAAAAGAATCATCTTCTCCTTTACAAAGACCCTTCATTCAATGGAATTAATGAGTGACAAATATAAGTGTAACAGCCATGTTTTGCAATTATTAGATCACCAAGTATGTTTTCTAGCAGTTTTCTATCCTTTCTTTGTTTCCCCTGTTCCTTTTACCAACCGAAAGTTAGAATATATTACGTACGTGTGGTAAGAAATTTTACCCACCATGGAAATTAAGAAAGACTTGAAATATAACAAAGCTCTAAAAAATGTTTTTTTTTTTTTTTTTCTCTTCGGGGGTGAATGGGATGGCGTGCATCAGAAAATCCCTGACTTTATGGACCTTGCTGCGAATATACATATCCAAGAAAACTGCGACAAATTTTTTCTTTTGAGAAAAAAGGTGCGAGAACTTGAAACTATAGGACCAAGAAGAAGAAAAACAAAAACAGAGAAAGGTTAATGGGAAAACATACGAAGAGAATCGCCAACATGGAAACTCTTGGTGGAAGCCCACTTGGTGTAGTCAATATTTCCCACGCTAGTCCACCCAGTGGAGTCACCTACCTTGTGAACTGCACCAAGAGAGACTCGAAAGCAAGCCAGCATCAAAAGGAAAGTTACGATTCTCTCAGAAGTCATCCTCAAAGCACGATTAGGAGAATAGCAAGAAAGCAACAGAGAGAACCGAAAGCAACACTGCTACGGAGCGAGAGCGTAGAAATTAGTAGTTAATTTGTGAAGGGAAACTTCGGCGCGCGGCGTCTACTTATAAGGAGGTTTTTCCTATAGACTATGGCGCTAGTCCTAGCATGTAAAGATTTCCTAAACCCAAAAGTATTTGTATAATGGATCGCCAATAATACCAAATATATATATATATATATACACCCTGCACTGCTACTTTTGATGAAGGGAAAAAGTTAATGTACATTCTCCATGTTAAACCTCGGCCGTACATTGTGTGTTTGACCCAATCTGAACCCTCGGATTCCAACGGGAATATTATGAAAGCGGCAATCAAAGCAATTATTTTGTGATTGGGATTAGGGGAAAGTGGTTAAAATTTCGAAGGACTTTGAGGTGGGACCAAAACTTGGAGGGATGGTGTACCACCGAGAGGTTAGGTCAGTCCAACACCAACACCATCACCATCAATGGCTCGGGGCTCCACTCCAATGTTTTACCAAACGCAAGGTCACAGCTGGTTTTCGCGGGGGGTGTAGATTATTAGATTTCACTCCGGACAAAATAAGAGCCTTGGCATCATTCGATTTTGATGCAGCGCTGATTTTCATGGCATTTCATTTTTGTTTCGCACCTCTGGGAGTCAGGGGGTCGAGCAGATGGAGGACAGCTATGCTGATTAATAAATGAGTTCACAAGAAAAATATTGGAATGGGTTGAAAATTGAAAAGACAGTTTCAGTCAGATAGGTAGATTTAGATACATTTGAATCCACGGTGAAATTGATTTTAACGAAATTAAAAATAATAATTAAAATAAAATTAATTATTATAAAATTAATAATAAAATATGTATTTAAATATAAAAATAATAGTGATAATGAAATAACTTATAATAAAAAATAAAAAAGTATTAATCTAAAAATATAATAATAAATTATTTATATATTTTTAATATTATTTAATATTTAAAATTTTATTGAAACATATAAATGATTTATTATATAATTACAATAATGTTATATGAAATTTTTAAATAAAAATTAAAAAATATAAATAAAAAAAAAAAAGAACGAAGGGTAATCTCATCCATGTACTGTTTATTGCAGGGTAAAAATAAATGACGGTGGAGACATGAAGCCACAAATAAATGGTTAGTGGTATATTCATCTTTACACTATACATTACAGGACAAAAAATATATATGGCAAGGGCATAAGAGGGAAAAACTGATGTAGTGTAGAGATAGATTTTCCACGAAACCCTAAGCTCTGGTGGCGATTGAAAGTTTCAGTATAATGAAAGAGTTGAATCGTGTTAAAACAAGTGATTCAAACACTTTTTATTGATGATTGAAGCTCCACATTGGGATCAATCGGTGATCCAAATGTTTCCTTAGTCCATAAAGAAGAAGAAAAATCAATTTAAAAAATGCAAAAAATAAACGTTAGGATAAGGTGAAAAACCAAGCCCAACTTTCCAATCACATGGCCTAGCTTGAATTGATCGAGAAAAAAATAAAAAAATGCTACTAAAGCGATGGACAACCTTAAATATTAGAATCAATGGACGTTAGTTAATGGTCCAGAATCTAACTTGTTCCATTAATTATAATGATAATAGTTCAGATATTATTTGATTTGATTTAACTTTTTTAAATAATATATAAAATTTTAAAATTTAATTTGAATCTAAATATAATTTTTATTTGATTTGATTTGATTCGAATCGAATTTTATTAATTTGATTTGATTCGATCTAATTTATTAATTTTTAAATTTTATTATTTATATATTATTTTAATATAATTTTTAATATTCAACAAGTAACCTAATTAATAAAAAATTTTAAAATAATCGATCATAATCATAATCAAACTAATCAAAATCAATTTAATTTGGTTAATTCAATTAAATAATTAAACTTTCATTTTTTTTATAAGGGTTAAAAGTGAGTTAGGCTTAGAGTTTTTTAAGTAAGAAAAAATATATTTACCCTTATTTGTTAAAAAGTTAATTAGTTTTGTTAATTTAATTATTAATTTTAAAAATTAAAAAATCGATCAACTTAATCAATTTAATCAACTAAAAAAACTAACTAAAATTAAACTAATTAAATCAAACCAATTTGACCATATTCAGTCGGTTAAATTGATTCCAATTGATTTATGCTCGTCTTTAGTTATAAAATAAATTGATGCTTTGTAATCATAGCCATTTTTGGACAATGTGTAAACTAAATATTGTACTTATAGGAGTGATTCAAATTTACCACAAATATTCTATTCTGTTAACCATATTTTTATTTTTAAAGTAAATTTATCTGTATATTTTAAATTTAAAATTATTTAAAAAATATTAATTGTAAATTTTTTGTTGAGAATTATTTTGTGTCTGTTTGGCCTAACTTATGGAAGAGGTTATCCATTACAAAGGCAAGAGCCTACGTTTGATTCTCAAAATTTTAAAAATTTTAGTTTATATGGAAAGCAAATTTAAGTTTTTAGGCACAGTTATAAATTAAATAATTTTCAATAAGTTCTAATTTTAATTATAAATATTTAATGAATTTTTTTTTATATTCTCACATTATTTTTCAATAATTTACAAAATTAAAAGAAAAATTATATTATTTTAAATTATTTTTTTATTTTATTCATCTTCTGTTAAATGCATTTATTTTGATTGTAATTAACAAAAATATATCTTTTTTGTTTATTTTAAAAAACTTAAGATTTAATTTAACAAAAAAATTTAAATTTAAAATTTTTAAAAATATATAGAAAATAATATCAAATAATTTTTTAATATTTTACGGCACTTATGTATTAAATTTACTAAACGCTATTTTAAATTCTCTTTATAGTATTTTTAAAACAATTTTACTCTAGCAACACTTCTTACATTTTTTTTTTTGCCAATAAAAAACGAGTTCTACACTTAAAAAATAATTTTAAAATTATATGACGAGAAAAAAACAACTATTAAACTAAAATCCAAAATTTTCATTTTGTAATTTTTTTCTTATTTTATGATAACATTTTATACTAAATATTATATCACATAATCAGAACTTTTCTTCTTTTTTATTTTTTTTATAATGTATTTTTTACTAAACATAATATCACATCATACTTTTTGGGTTGATCTTACTTTTTCTGTCATGTTAGTTTCAAGATTTTTTTTTTTTTAATTATAAAACAATTTCTATAGGAAATATTTTATGAAATATTTATCAACGCTTAAATTTTGACCAATTTCACTTCAAAATAAAAAAGTATAATAATACATTTGTTTTGAAATTAAAAATATAATGATAAAATTATACTAATTCAAAGATTAATGATAAATTTAAACCACTTACATAAATAAAAGTGTTAAATTTGTTACTTACCTGTAACCAGTTGCTAGACACATTGTAAATTTTACCAACTACGCTGTTAGTAGTGCAAAAATAATATATTCAATATGCAAAGAGCTTTTATCAATCACATGATTGTGCGCACATACTTGACAACTATAGCAAGAGTTAAAAGCGACATGATGATCTCGATATGTTAAAAGGGCAATGGCATGCAAGTGTGCTAGTAATTTTGCCTTTATTATTACCAACAAATTAAAAAAATAAACAAAATCATTAATTATTAATCATTTTCTTTGATTAATTACTACTAAATTATCATATACATATTTACATAGATGCATTTATTTAATTGAAGTATCATATAAATATATACATAACACTGATATATTAATATTTGTTGGTTTGAGTGATAAAAAATTTAATTTTTTTTAAATAAAGTATTAATTTTGAGTTTTGTGAATGAAAAAAATAAATTTAAAAGAGTTTACTCTATTTACGAGGTTGAATCGGCTTAACTCTGGATTAATCAGAATAAAAAATAATTATCGAATTCCCGGAAGATCCCAGAAAAAAAAAAAAAACACTGGCAGGATATGTAAATGGGCTTATATTGCGAACCTAACTCCTTACCTGTGAACATTGGGGGCCCATGATGGATTAGAATGTAGATTTTGTGATAAAACCCAATTCCGCGCAGAACAAACGTACCATTGCAATCAAACAAGACCCCAAGCCGGAAGTGCTCTTATCCACATCCCCACGCCCTTCCCTCCTTTCTGAACTCGTTGAGAACCCATGACACAGTTCTTAACAAAATCCACAGCCGTTTTCTGCTATCAAATGGTGGCGCTCGTTTCTTCAACGACCCCCGTTCGGTCCATTTTCTGGCCCAATCCCAATACTCCCAAATCCTTGTTCTCCCCTTCGGGTTCTCTCTTAATTCTTCACTTCACTTCATTTTTTAGTGTTTTCTTTTTAGAGCATTGTCAGTTAACGAGACAAGTTTTCCGCCTACAGGTTGTTTCCAGAAGGATTCGATTGCGTGAAGTGCCGCTCCAGCAATGTTAATGTGTACTCGTGGAGCTCAGCTGCATACTACGGCAGGTTTCATCACGACGCCATTAAATTATGTGGCAAACCCGTTATTGTTAAACATTTGCTACATAAGAGGCAAGTTCGTTTATAAAAATAACTTTCTATGTGTTGGAAGAAATGCTGCAGCGAGTTTCTAAGATAGAATTTCTGTGGGTTTTTCTTTCTTTTTCATTTTTGGGTTTTTTGAAATATGTTTATTGTTTTGGAACGTGGAGAGTTGGAATTGTGAGGTGTGCAACCATTGAAGAAATCGAAGCAGAGAAATCTTCCATTGAGAAAGATGCAGTGAGTTTCTTTATAAATTCAAGTAAAGCAAGGGAATTTTTTTTTAACAGAAAGGGAATATTATTTTGTTTTTATCAGAAAGCAAGAATGGAGAAGACAATTGAGGCAGTTCGAACTAATTTCAATTCCATTAGAACAGGGAGGGCAAACCCAGTAATGCTTGACAAAGTTGAGGTATGAGTTTTCGTACTGGTTCACATGGTTCATTTGGGATTATGGGATATTATGTGAACAAGCTTGTGAGAAACTGGTATGCGAACACCATGTTTAGGACATAGTATAAAATATATCGAATTTGTTGATTATAAGATTGACTTCCCGGCATTCAATTTCAGGCTGGTCTGAGAAAGACAGAATTGCTTGCTTAATATTCATTAGTGTGTACAACTAATAATATTTATGTCTGTCAGATGAGAAATGGATCTTAAAACGTTATGTTGATGTCTGTTGGCTAACCAAAGGTTGCTAATTTGTTCTAAAACTAAAATATCATCTTTTTCTCGGAAAGATTTAATAGTTTGCTGTTTTAGGTGGAATATTATGGAACTCCAGTCAGCTTAAAGAGTATTGCCCAAATAATTACACCTGATTCAAGTTCTCTGTTGATTCAATCCTATGACAAATCCAGGTATAGTAAACCAAAGATGGTCATTAGTTCAGGTTAATTTGTAAATTTATGTAGTTTGCATGATTCATCTTCTGCAATACATGTGGCATACAGTTAAGAATTGAGGACTTTCAGAACTTGCTTTTTTGAAAAGGCATAAGAAATAAAAAGCAGAGTTATTTACACATGGAATCTTTATTCATATGTTGACAACCTTTTCTAAAGGACGTAAATTTGTTGGATTTTATATCTTGCAATTGAAAATTGATATCCTGTATTTGCAAGAGTGCCCCATAAAAGTATCTCTATGCTTTCTCTCAGTGACTTGTACTATATTTTGACATGTAATGTTTTTCAGCTTAAAAACTATAGAGAAGCTATAGTCAACTCTTATCTTAGTGTTTACGCATGGAATATTTATTCATATGTTGACTATCTTTTCTAAAGGAGGTAAATTTGTTGGATTTATATCCTACTATTGAAAATTGATATCCTGTATGTGCAAGAGTGCCCCATGAAAGTATCTGTATGCTTCTCTCAGTGACTTGTACTATATTTTGAAATGTAATATTTTTCAGCTTAAAGGCTATGGAGAAAGCTGTAGTCAATTCTGATCTTGGTATGACTCCAAACAATGATGGTGAAGTCATTCGCTTGTCTCTTCCTCAACTAACAACTGAAAGAAGAAAGGTATCTTTCCTTTTTCTTGATCTTTTGGCATGTGGGGGACAAAAAAATCTTTCTTATAGCATCCCCTGATTTAAAGTTATTTATTATAGAAGTATGCTACATTCAAAAAAAATTTTACTTTGCTTTTAAAATACTATTGTTTTCCTTTAGATCCCTTATGTGTTCCTCAATGGTGCAATTACGCAGCCATAAAATTTATGTTTTGGAGATATTATTTTATGCTGTTGTTTCCATGAAAATTTTCCATTCCATGTTTATATCGATCCCTCTCTGTCTATCTATCTCTCGTTCACTCATATATTTTTGAAATTTTATGCCTTTGAACCATGGTGTGGTGAGTTAACATTAGCATTACATAATTGCTTGAAACTAACTTATTATTCATTTTCTGCTTTACTCATGGCCATGTGTATTTCTTGTTTTGTTTTGTGAAATATTGTATTCTGATCTTGGCTGTAAAAGAATCTCATCTTTTTGTGCACGTTGCCACACTACCTAGAAATACAGTATCACAAGTGCAAATACAGTGAGAAATTACATGTGTTCTTGTAGCTACTTTGCATAGAGTTTGCAAATGTTATTAGCCCATTGGAAAATTTTGTTGGATATTCCTAAGAAAGGTGTTGGCAAGGCACTCTTTTGTCACTAAATGAAATGACAGTATTAGAGGTAGACTTAATTTGCAAGTATTTGGGGATATTTTATTTTCTTAAGATGTGCTCAGCAAGGTTTCTTGAATACATACTTCTAGAAATTTTAATAAAGTTCGATTATTGGTTTTCTTTATATTTTACATAATTGCAGGAATTGTCAAAAGTTGTGGCCAAACAAGCTGAACAAGGGAAGGTACTTAAACTTTTGTGATTTGGGTTTGAATTTCAGACACTACAGTTGATTCTTAATTTTGTCATTGGACACTCTCTCTCAGAAAAAAAAAAAAGTCTGGATATTTAAGCTCCAGATTCATGTATTCTGAATGATCCTAAAAAGAGTATATTCTTTAAGCAAGAAGCAAGTATAAAAGCATCAATGATGTGGAGTCTAAATATTCAACCTATAATTTGGTTGTCTTGGTCAAGAACCTTTAAATTTGATTGAGGGGATAAAACCCGTAAGTGCTTAGAATTATTTCCTAGAACGTGGAAGTGCTAAGGTTTACTTGTGTTACCACATGAATATCTAAGCACTTGCACTCTAAATTTTCATTTGTTGGGTTAATATTTGATTTATGGTGGTTATAGACTAAATTATGGTACTTCATTTACTTGAATCATCTTTGTTGATCAACTCTTTATACGTGGCAGTGAGGAATGTAAGAAGAGATGCCCTTAAAGCCTATGAAAAGCTTGAGAAGGCTTGTATCTTGCCGGCCTTCCCTCCCCTTTACTTCTGATTCACGTGTCTTTGCTTTCTTTTCCCTGGCTCATGTTTGTTGAATCACCTTTTGTTGGCATTGTTTTTTTCGATTTTATCCAGGAGAAAAAGCTTTCTGAAGACAATGTGAAGGACTTATCAAGTGATTTGCAGGTGACTTGAGATTTATCCTCTTTACCTTCATTTTGATCCTCTCTCTCTCTCTCTCTCTCTCTTGCAAACAGAATCAAGGGAAGAAGTGCTTTTGTCACTATAAGGTAGAACATAGTATGCAATTGCATGTTCGTCATGAAACAATTAGCACCCAATGGCTTGGATCAAGTGCTGAGGTGATCCATAATGTATGGGGTACTGTCACTAACTTTTTTTTTTTTATAATTTCGTGTAAAAGGTGTGACCAAAGTGTTCTGGTTTTATGGAAATTTGGTTTCAGCCATTTATTTAACCAAATTCCTGGTTCCTTGATGTTTGCAATAACTTATTGGACAGTGTTGCTTTACCTTCCTAAATGGAGAAAATTTATTATGGACCAAACTCCCTCTTTACACTAACTCTGAATCCCTGAAAACCCCCTATTTTGGAGGCAACCCTTGAGGTATAGACTATAGAGGCTTCTTATTTTCTTTAATCTCTTTTCTGCCTATAACTCTATATCTTCAATATATGTGTTTTTGCATTGGTGTGTACACACTCATGCATGTAGATTTCCATTCTGATAAACAAGTCAATTTGGTGGGTTGCATATTCCCTTTTAGTTTGTGAAATCTTGTTCTTGACGCAGAAACTTACAGATGAGTATGTGAAGAAGATTGATAGCCTCTACAAGCAGAAAGAGAAGGTATCCCTTGTCAAAAAAACAAGTCCATTTGTTTTCTTTTTTGCTCAAAGAAAAACGAGTCCACTATTTTTGCCATTCTCTTTTGCTTCAAATTTGACCTAATGCTCTTGTAATACTTTGATGTCTTACACATGTTTATCTTCCTTTTGCTTGTCTTTCTGGAGTTGTTGACCGTCTAGTGATTGTTTGTAGAAAGATGTAAAGCGTTGAGCTTCCTTTTCTATTGAGACAGAAAAATTAGTTCTTTGTTTTCTTTACTTTTTGGTGGGCGAGTGGAAACTTGTGGTGCATATTGTCTATACCTTACCCACAAAAGAGCATTTTGAAAATTCTTGTGTTATTGGGTAGATATCTTGTTTTGAAAGAAATGGAAAAATCAAAATCCATGACTTCTGTTTTAAAAGTTGAATGCATGTATAATAATCTTTACAACTCTTTTTCCAGATTCATTGATGGCATCCATCCATACTGTCGTGGCTGGACATCAAACATAAACACGTTCTTATTAAGATTGTTAGCCCTGTACAGTTTGTCCGTTTCCAATTATCGTGGTCCTTGGTGATTTTAAAGCCATCTGATCTGAGAACTCTGTGCTGCATAACTAGCCAAGATTCTTAGCCTTTGTTCTGTTTTGACGTAGAAAGTCAAATGGCAAATATGGGACCAGCGCCCTAGTTTGACAATTTTGGTTTAGAAAGTTTTAATGTGAATTGACTTCTTGAATCCTTCTGAAGAGACGGTGCATTTGCCCTACACATTCTTGCTCTTTGCGATAGAATTGCTGTTCATATCAGATTGAAGCTATCTGATTTTCATGTGGTGTATAACTAGCTACATCACTGGTCTTCGTTTTGTTTTTTGATCCACAAAGTATGGGAAATTTGTGGACCAGCATTTGGCCCAAGTTTGACAATGTTGTGCGCTTCAAAATGTTTTGATGCTGTATCATAACCAATGTCTTAAACCCTAGTGCTACTACTACAACCACTATTTTCCCGGTACAAATGCATGTGCTTTATTTTTTAGTTGTGGAAGCAGGTGAGATTTAAAAGTTTGGGGTTTTCTGCATCCTGCACAAAAAGTGAGGTTTTATAATATCTTTACTATGGATCAATTTTTCTCGCTTTGAACAAAAAGATCTTCAGGGATTGCTTTTATTGCACCAAGAACCTGTCTCTCCCCAGTTGTCCACCAACCCGATGTGCAAATTATGCACCCATTCTTTTACCATCCCTAATGAACAGAACTCATGACTATTAGAGAGTTGTATCAACAGCACAAACTGCCATTGTTACTACTAGGACTAGTTTCGTCATCCAATTCCATCCATCCTTGTTGCAATACCATAGACGATGCAGGTTCGCGACCTCTACTGAAAGAACTGGCTCGTTAACATCTCTCCAGGCGTCCAGGATGTCGTTAGTTATTGCATAATGCCCATACGGATCATTGTAATTTTCCAACTTTTTCCATGTAATTTTCTAAAGCTGTCTTACATAAACAATTTCTTGGATACTTCCAACAAGTAGGAGATAAAATTACCTCATGAAAAAAAAATAGTATCTATCCCAGGACCACTAGCATCGGTTCCTTTTAATCCAAGATAGTTTCTTTCTTTCTTATCATTTTCTCTGGTTCCTTTATCATTTTCTTATTCAATTCATGGTCCAACTAGATCGCATCCGGAAAAAAGAAGATAAGTTGCTTTTGTTAACTTTAAGTTTGGCAAACCATATGCCCGTTCTCTTCTATATTTGTATCCCAAAATAAAAAAGACTAATCTTTAATGCCATCATTACTCATCACCCTCATTCTCATTGCTTTTAAGTGATGTTATATAGAAAAGTCGACTTCCATCTTGTGAAATAAGATCTAAGAGACCTCAACTCTCTACATAAATCCTTGAAAACTTTAGTTGGGGAAAAGCTATCTTGGCCCCACTTTCCAACGGTTTACACCTACCCTACTAAGCAAAAATGATTTATGAGTTAACCAAATGTTTCTTCGTTACATTGCAACCTAAAAGCAAATATTAAAGTTTGCCCTATAAAAATTTTCACTTGAAAATAGTCGGTTACCTATTTAGAATTGTTATTTCTACAAGCAAAAATTTTAAATTTTTTTCTTATAAAAGTTATGTCCTCTCCTGAACTAAAAAAAAAAAAAAAAACTTTAAAGGTTTGCATTATTATTAAATAGCAGTTCACATTTATTTATTTTTGCTATTATAAAAAAGGAGAGTTTTTTTTTTTAATATAAAAAAATCACGATCTCGAGAATAAAAGAAAAATTTTACGTGTTGCGATTTCAACTATCTATTTACTGGTATTTGATATCAACCCTTAAAATTGACTATATATAAAATCACTCCGCTAAATCCCATGTTCCGTTCATGATTTTCTTCATCTTGGCTGTTCAATAAAAAAGTAAAAGGGAAAGTTATTAGAAAAAAAAAAAAAAAAGGGTCACTGGACCTTGTCAGAATCAATATTTTGAAATGTTTTGGGCTATGGGACCCAGAATCTGATGAGAAAGAAACATAGAAAAGGACATTGTCTTGCACTCCTTGCCGAAATCATTTGGTTAGAAAAGGGCCTGTTTGCCTGTTCAGCTCACACTACTTCAAAGCGAAACATCATTTCTCTTCCCACAACCCATATTTTTCAAACATTCTAAATTCTTCAACTTTTTTTCCCAAATGACCAAAAGTTTTTCCATTTTCCTTAAAAATGCATTTATAATGTTTGAAAATTCAAATTCTTTCCTTATTTTAATTCCACTCTAACATACTAATCTGTTCTTAATTCTCATACTACATTTAAAAATCATGCCATCCAATTTTAAAAATTAATTTAAAATGAAAACATTTCATCTATAATTTATTTAATTATAATAAATAATTTAATGTGGAATTTATATAATTTTTTATATACTATAAATCAGATTGAATTATTATTAATTAATTATAAATAATATACTTTCATCTAAAAAATTTAGATAATTTTTTATAAGATTAAATTCGATTCCAAATATTTATAATTTTTCTCTCTTCATCTCCTTAAATTATTGCTTCTCTTGCACAAGAGGAAACCATGCCCATCATATATAAATTCTGGCACTATGTACTATTCTATATTAAAACTCATAAAAACAACTCATAGTCTCCTCCAACCCTAACCCAACTACAACCAGTTAAAAGTATACAATTAAAGAAAAGACTAATAGTTTAATGTAGACTCTTTTATTACTATTATTTTTTAAAAAATATCAAGCTTGCACCTTCCCCAAACCTCTCTTGGAATAACAAACAAAACAATAAGAAAAAAAAAATGCTCGCCATATTGACAAATCCGTCAAGACAAAAATATGTTTCCTATTTTTGTCTGCTGAACCCAGTTGGAACCAAAATTATTTTATAATTAAATTGATAATCTAGATTTCATTTTTTAATTATTTTTTAGTGGGATGAAAGGACTTGTCTCTATCAACCGATATATTATAGTCTTATTGTTTATAGTCGTGCATGTCCATTAAATATGACAAAAGCAAGCTTAAGTCAATTTACAATAAAATGTTTGCTAGACTAAGGATCAAATGAGGGTATAATTTAGTATAAAAATGTCGAAATGCGCGTATAACAATCACGTGGGTTAGGGCTTAACCCAAAGGCCAAAACAAATCATCAAAATAGATGATAAGATGAAATTTGTGCATAAACTTTGTTTTATTTTATAGCTTAGATCAAAAAATTTTTTTTTACATGGCTTTGATATAGATTATGAGATTTTTATTTTTTAATCTCATTTGAGTATTATCAATAATTTTTTAAGCGGATTCATGAAAATTTATTTTTTTAGTGTTTTTAATAATGTTTTAGTTTGAAGTCTTTTCTTTTGTGGCCAAACAAATAATTTTTTAAGGTGTTTACAATATTTTATATTATTAATTTTGAATTTGGGCAAGTGGAAAGTAGGTGGATTCCTTTTCCAAGGTTTATTTTTATTTTATTATTATACTATTATTGTTAGAAACACAAAGCATTGAAAAAGCCAAAGAAGCATGCTTTTATTACTTTTTTAATTGTAATAAGAATAATTTAAAAGAGGGATTAGATTTTTTATAAACTTTAAATAAGGTACCGTGCAAAGCCATCAACATAGAATAAAGTATTCTGGTCTACTTTGATTTCTTTTTTTTGTAAAATAAGGATTTGCTTTGGCATAAAATATTATACTCACCGCCTTTTCATTGGCATATATAAAAAAAATGGTTGAATGTTGCATCATGGATTTTGAATTTGTGGTTTGAATATTACTATATTTTTAACAAACTTGAGAAATTAATATTGCGATTTTTTTTTATAAAATATTTATATAAAAAAATTATCTCCTTTTCTTTTTTCGGCAGAGTTGAATGATTCCCCTTTTATTTAATCAATGTTTTTATATTGGAATTTTAAAAAGGGCAACAGCCTACTTTTTTTTTTATGTGCAAATTGAAGGAGTAATCTGTCAAAGACAAGAAATTTAATAAAAATAAAATAATGGATTTTAAAATATGAGTTGGCTTAGAGGAATAAGAGGTTATGTAGAGGATTATTTTAAATTTGTATATTCAGTCAGCATATTCTAATGGATATTTATTTTTAATTGACCGATGAAGATGCTTATATATATTTTTTAATTTGAAATTATTAAAAATTAAATATGGATTAGTTAAATATTTTACAAATATTTCACATGATTATTGATTGTTACTTATTTCATATACTAATTGATAAATCATAAGTGTTAAGTACTCTTATATAAAAAAAATTTAATTATCTTGTTTGGTGACTTAAATTAGTAACGTATACGTTTTTTTTTTAAATTTTTAAGTCTTAATTTATTCATTATAATTAAAAAAAATTAATTTACTTTTGAACTCTTATATTTACATTTGTCTAAAAAATTAATGTATACCAACTCATTCAAATTTATAATTTTAAATATTAATTTTAATATTATATCAATTGATGATTGATTCAAAAGTTTAGTTGGATATTCATTTAAAAATTTGAATTCAATTCATTCAAAATAAATTTTAAATCTAACTATTTCATGAGACAAAAATTTAAATTACCACTAATACAGTTGATTTATTTAAATGTTTTTACAAAATTAATTTTGTAGTAACTATGTGAATTTCAGGTCATTTAACATGAAAAATACCAGTATATTTAAGGAAAAAAAAGCTAGAATGTCATATTCGTGGAGCGGCTGTGGCAAAAACGAGATCCGAGGCCATGAGCAGTTATAGCTAAAGAACAACGCCCCCTACTGTCGTGATTGCTGCCTTGGATCGTGGCCTATTTTCCACGTGTACTTCACGACTCCCACTCGCTGCCACTTTTATACTCGCCATTTTAGACACACACTTTTTCCTTGCCCAACAATCCTGCCTGTCCCAACGCGAGTACAACCTCGACCTATATCACTTTTGACAATTATAAAAAGCGTCCTCTGACATGTTATGATAGAGTCGAGCGCAGGTTATCATTTCCTGCTTACCCCTCCATTATCGGTGACGTCATGCAGAGATGCCAGGTAAACTAAAACCCCACTCGGGACCCGCCATTCTCGCAACTTCAATGATCGCGACACGAGTTCTGTGCACTCTGCTGCCAAAGCATCTGAGACCGTCCGATTTTACAGAAGTTATTGAATGTTGCGTGCCAGGTCAGACTCGCTTTTTTAAGGTGCTGGTTAGTTAAACCCAAGCGAAAGCCACGTCGGATTCCAATCCAACGGATTCTGTTTTCCTACCCGCACTTAATAAATCTCGACCCTTAATTTCTTTGTGGATCCCACCTCAAAGAATTTGACCGACTGGAGCAGTCATTTCGGGCCCCACCAAGTCCCACGTGACTGATCTGCGCCTTTTGTGGACAGTACAATCCACTGAAATAATCTAAAATACGGGCAACCGGCGACATCAGCTTCTCTGTGGACTGTACGGGAAAGGAAAGGGAGATATTTCGTTTGAGTGGAGTTGGCGAATGAACAGTCGACAAGTGTGCTTTATGAGTGGGATCCACCAGATGAAAATGTAGAGAAAACTCTTTTGGTGGATATGTCGACATTGTTTCCGCACGCGCCAGACAAACGCGTGGGGATAGATTGTGATTGATATTGTAGAAAGTGAGCCCCTGAAGATAAAAGAAAGATATAAATAAGCCTGACACGTGGCGAGTTAATGGGCATTGGCTATATTCCGTCAGAAAATGACGTTTCTGCCATGTTGGCATCTGCAAATCACGACCGTCCGATTTTTAAAAGAGTGAATACTAGAGATCAACCCATTTGCCCGAAGGAGAAATCTGGGCCGTCAAGGCTAGCTCTGAAGTAGGTTTCCGTGAGTGAATGAACAACAATAAAAATATAAATAAAAAATGAAGCGATAGAGATTGAGATTTTGAGCACAAAAAGAACAGAAAACAAAAAGCCAGTTGAAAAAGCGGAGAAGAGAGAAAACGGTGAACTTCCTTGGCAGCAAACACAATTGGTTTCTCTTCTTAGATTTTTTTTTTCTCTTTTACTTTTCTCTATCGATTCTTTACAGTAAAGAAATTCAAATCTGAAGTTTCAACATTTTATTCGCCGGAAACTATGGTGAATTGCCAAACGGCTGGCTATCTCGTCGGAATATTGTTTATTTTTTAGATTTAATCGAAAAGTATATTATGGAGAGAAACAGAGAAGCAAGAAGATCGAACCTTGCTCCGTCAAATGGATTGCCTAGACGTCGTCAAAGAAGCAATAATCTCCGAGATTCATCTGGTTTCAAACTTTTTCAGTTTTTTCTCTATATATATATTTTTAATTTGTTTTGTGTTATTTTCTTAATCATTTTTCTTTTTTTTTTCTTGGGTTTTCAGAAGATGGAGAGATAGAGATGCAAGAAACGGTGAGGTTAAGAGAGAATGCGAGCAAAAGAGAAAGAGACCAAAATTTGTTGAATCGGAGCAAGCGTAGGCGAGCAGATAAGGTGGTTTTACAAGAAAGCAATAACAGAGAAGACGGAGAAGAAAGTACGGAGGAGAGTTCTGGTGAAGAAGAAGACTACGAAACTGAGCAGCTCAGTAACCGTAAAATCTCGTCTTCAGCTAGAGTTCCCAGACAAATACCCCCTTTGAAGGCGACCGATGAGATGATTAGTTTTCCAGTACCCCGAAAAGCTCGCTCAGGTATCAAAATTGTTGGTTTTAATCATCTATATTTACATATATAAAAGATGCTGATTTTTTTTAGTTATTTATTGATTTTCTTTTGTGGGTTTTTTTTTTTTTTTTTTAGCATCAGTGAAAAGGTCACATGAGAATTGGGTGGCTGGAAATGGTGGTTTCGTGGAGGAACAAAACCATCGGCGAGCTTCGATTTCGCCGGCTAGTCGGAGCGTTGAGTCTGACCGAATTTCACCGTCTTCATCAAATGGTTCTGTTAGGAAGAAGATGGTCAGCTTCTGCGTTTATATATATATATATATTTTTGGTTTTTTAATGCTTTCTTTCATGTGTTTTAATGTTTGACGAAATTGAGAGGATTGAGGAGTTTTTGGGTCTTTTTTTTCCCCGGATGTTGCAGAAGACAAATGGACCTAAGACTCGGCTTCCAAAGGCGACCAAGTCCTCTGTCCAGGAGGATATCGAGATTGAAATCGCAGAGGTTCTGTACGGATTGAAGAAGCAATCGCAAAGCTCCAAGAAGGAAGATAGCGCTGGAAATCCTTTGTCAAAGCTTGAATCGGAAGATGCAAATGTTTTCTCTACTGATATCAAGATCTCTGCTTCTCCTCAGATTGCAAGCTCTGCACAGAGTCAATCTCAGACAACGTTTTTGCCGGATCCATTGGTTGGCATTGGTGGGTATTTTCAGCGTTCAATCTTTTTGCTAAAATGGTTTGCTTCTTTTTTATTTTTAATTTTTTTTATCATTGGCATTTGTAGCTTCAAAGAAGAAACTCGAAGTTGAGGATTCTCTAATTCCAGTGAAAGTTGACAATGAGCAACCGGCAAAAATGGAAATTTGTTCATCAAAACAGGGTCAAATATCAGGATTTAATGCGGTACTTTCTGAGTCTAATCTTGATAAGGGTGCTGCTGAAACTGCATCTGTGTTAATGGAGTCACGGGAGAACGTGGTGACTATTAAGCAGGGAGATTCGAAACCATCCGTTGAAGAACCAAATTCCGTAGATAGAGCTGTGACCAGGGAAAAGTCTGTTTCGACTGAAAAGGAATCCGCTAAATTGGATGTTAATTTTCAGGATTCCACTGTGACGAAAGTGTGAGCATCAAAGAATCTTGCTTTCTTACTCCTTTGATTAACGCTTTCAAGATATCTGATTTTTTTTTTTTTTTTAAATTTTGTTGGCATGGGATATCACAGAATATCGACCATGACAAAAGCGGAGAGCCAACGTGAAGAGAAGTTCAAGATCGATTTGATGGTGAGGATCTCCTTCTGTCGAAAATTCCAATTAGATTACTTCGGTTGGTATTTTGCTGTCCAAATTACTGAAGAAAAAGAGTAATGAGTAATGCCCCCATTTCTAACAGGCTCCTCCTCCTATGGCATCATCCCCGGAAAGGGATAGCCCTATGGATATCACATCGGATCCTAACTACAAGGTTCTGGACATAGAGTCGGTGAGTGCCTTTCAACTTTACCGATTTATCCTTCTGATTTTTGTTCATGGACTTAAATTTTTTATCTTTCATTTTTGATTCAGAAGGTAGAGACTTTGTCCAAGGATGAAAAAAAGGTTGTGAAGAAAGAAATGAGAGCAGAAGATAGTAAAAACATGAAGATGGATGCAATTAAGGAGAAGCGAGATTCATTGAACCTTGATTTGGAGAAGCTGCATCAAGACAGTTCTAGTCATTGCTGTAAATTTGAACATGGTCAAAAACAACATCTCTCTAAAGTTGGCACTCCAAAAGTGGAGAAAACCTGTAATTTTTAATATGTTTCAGCCTTGTCTCACTGTGATGCTCAATGATTTTTATTTGTTTACTTAGCTCTCTGTTTACTTGAATTATGATATGGTGAGTTTACTGATTGATCCTCTTCTCTTATTCAGTCCAATCTAGTTCAGTGTCTGTGCCAATCACCCTTGCTGGCTGGCCAAATGCTCTGCCACCACTGGGGTAAGCCATCTAGACTTTTGTTCTGGTTCTGCATTTTGTTTTTGGTAAATACCCTTTGCTGTTAATATTATTTGGTTTCTAAGAAGTAGAAACTTTATTTATATAGCAGGTATATGCCTCCCTTCCAGACAATTGCGCCCATGGACGGAAGTGCCATATCATCCACAGCATTACAGGTATGAATACTGATTTTCTTACTAGGCCAAAGGTTTCAATATATAGCTCAGGCTATTTGTTACATATTTTCTTGGTTTTAAATTAACTACGAATTTCTGTTGGAAATATGCAGCCTCCTCATTTCCTTCTTTCTCAACCTCAGCCTAAAAGATGTGCCATGCATCGTTACATTGCTTGCAACATACAATTACACCAGCAGTTCACAAAAATGAACCATTTTTTTCCAGCAGCGACTGGTTCTGCATCTCTATGTGGGGCCAAGCCCAACAATCTCAGTGTGGCGCCATCTGCAGAAAATTTGATTCTTGAAAATCCGTTGCTAAGAAGCTTCCCAGTTGTTAATCTAAATCCTACAGAGGAGAAAGGTATGGTTGCAGTGGGCTCCCCGGGTAAGGCCAGGAAAGATAAAAGCTCTGACTGCACCAATTTCATGGCCACGGCACAGAGAAAGCAGGTTATGGTTGAACAGGCTTCCCAACCAGCACCTGCTGGTAACTTGATGGTATGTTAATGCTTTTTAAGTTAATGTAGAATTCTTGCTCATTCATTTTTTGGGGTTATTTTTGTAGTTGCGTCATTGCTATCAATTTGTTTTTCATTTTCAAAGTTGTGCTCTTTTATGTTATTGCAGAATGGCCCTGCTTTCATATTCCCTTTGAGCCAGCACCAAGCAACTGCAAATAAGTCTGGGCCTTCTAAATCTGCTACCTCAACTAACAAAGCATCATTGACTAATAATTCAACACCTGGAATTTTGACTAGCTCTACAGCGCTACCGGGAGTAGCAGCAGCCGTGAGCTTTAATTACCCAAATTTGGGTGCTAATGAAGCTCCGTACTTGACCATATTACAGAACAATGGTTACCCTTTTGCTATTTCTGCTCCTGTTGGAAACCCATCATCAATTAGAGGAGGAACCCCTACTCAAGCGTTGCCTTTCTTTAATGGATCTTTCTATTCCTCTCAGATGTTCCATCCTCAACTTCAACAGCAGCAAGCTCACTCGCATTCGCTGGTTCAACCAGCTTATCAGAACACAGTCACATCAAGTGGCTCATCATCATCCCACAAGCAACCAGAAAGTCAGCAGCCACGGGGTGGACAAGTCAGTGGCAATAATTTTTTGAGCTCAACAAGCATGCATTCACAGCAATTGCAGAAGTATAATATGCTTCCATCCAATCAATCTCGTAAAATGGAACCTGAGATGAATGGGGAGAATACAACTGCAAACACCCAGAAAAGTGTTTATGGCCAGAACCCAGCACTTCCTCATCAGCCGCTTAACTTTGCCTTGGTACCTTCTGCAACGGTGGGTGGTGGTGGTGTAAATGGAAATCACAGCGAGGAGCAGCTTTCACAACAGAAAAATTTGAAGGGTGGAGTTGATCTCGTCCCTCAACAGGCATTTGCCATGTCATTTGCCTCTTTCACTGGAAACAACATAGCTTCAAATCTTAACTTCTCATCAATGGCACAAAACCCCAATATCTTTCATAGCCTACCTGATATGGCTCGTCAAGGATACCAGTTTACACCTGTACCACAAGCTGCACAGCAGAAGAATCACCAAATATCTGACGGGAAGAATGGAGCTGGTTCAACCAATCTGGATGATGGAAAAAAGGTAAGTTCGGGGAAGTCACATAAAACAAACTCTCAGACATATGTTTTTGACAATTCAGCTAGATCTTTGAACTTTGTATCCTCTCCTGTCACTGGAAATTGGCCTTCTCGCTCCATCACCTCCACTACAGTAACCATAAATCCTCCCATTGTTGCTAATTCATCAAATTCCCAACAACAGCTGCTTCAACTTCAGAAGCAGCACGTGGTGCAACAACATCAGCAGCAATCTCGAAGCAAAACTGAGACTACCAACACCATGCCTGCATCTTCCATTGCTGCTATATTCCCACAAACTGTGCCTCAAAACACCACTGCTGCACAATCAACCCTGTGGAAAAACTCAGCTAGAACCCCAGCATCTCCAGCTGCCAATGTCTCGGCCGTTAAAAATTTTCCCCAGCAACCATCGAGGCCTCCACAAGGCCAAACACAGATATCATTTGGGGTAAATAACAAGCCCTGCTTATCGCCACAGGGACAAGAAATACCTACGAGCGGTCAGTCTGCGTCGCCTATGATTGTTGGGTCTCCACCAAGCAGTGGCAACTTGAGAACAAGTTCAACGAGCAGCAAAGTTGGCTCATCAGTTCCTACACTGCAATCACAACAGAGCGAGAATTCTTCTGCTGGTAATGGCCAGAAATCCTCTCCGGTGTGTGGAAGGAACGTGCCTTCAATCTTGAGCACATGCCCTAGCCACCTTTCGGAACTCAAGTATTGAAATTTAGACGCAATTTAATATATTGCCCTCTCACTGCCTGCCTTAGTGAATTTGAAGGGAAATGCGCAGGACACGTTACAACGATTTTGAGGGGATTAAGCTTTTCATGTCAAGTGAAAGGCACGTGGGTTCTTGTTTTGCCGGAGGAACTAAAGATTTTGATCATTTTTGGCAGATTCATCAGAGGAGCAAAGAAAAGAAGCTTAAGCATTGGATGTGAAATGCAGTTGGCTGGACTTGGACGATAATATTCATTGCAAGTCAGACTTGTTCCGACAAGGCAGCCCCGGATTGATGCTAAGACCAAAATGCATGTGGAGTTGCGGCCACCAAGCATCACAATTACATCGGCATATGTGAGTTGGCGGGGCTGGGGTCATTGGTGAAGAAGACAGGATAATGTTCAAAGGAGGTTGGGGCTATAGTTAATCCGACAGTTTTGAAGTTTGAACCAAGGTGGGGACCTACCAATACCATATTTCAGGGCTTATGGTTGGTTGTCCTATTTAAGTCTATTAGGTCTAAGTGATGCTGACGTGTAATAGGATAATCATTTGCAAAGAAAACAATATTCCTGGTTTCATAAACTATTTTATTTGAAATTAATCTTGCCCATTTGGCTATTTGCCCTATTCCGATTTCTTATTATTTTTGTGATTGATTGTGGGTGGAGGCCATAAGAGATATTTGTAGTTAGAAAAGATACCCAAAAATCTCAAATGTAGCAAAGTAGAAATGGTCGAGCTGGAAGCAACTGATGTTATTGGCCGTGGCCTTTTTGTATTCTTCTGCTTCTTTACCGCTCCTTGTATTCGTTTGCATATATGCTCGACACGGGACTGGATGAGTTTTTAAGATTTCAAACTCTGTTTTGATTTTTTAAACTTATTTGGCCTTTGACCTAAAGCAGTCATGGTTTCGCACAAGTTTCCTTGAACAATTGAATTAGCAGATCGTCTAAATTCAAAGCATTTGAGGATTATTTTATTGTTGCGTCTGCCATAATTCCACGTTTCACTTCATATTTATCTTATTCTTATCACTTCATATCCAATAATCTGATAATCCACACAATCTAGCACTGAGGGTTATGATGCTACCAAATGTTTCAGTCTCTTTAAGAACAAATTTAAATTGGAAGAATCTTTCATGAATGTAAATGGCATTAAAGAAACCAGTTCGATGACGTAAAATCTATAGTTGAGGAAATAAAAAAAGCTTTCGAGTGTCTTTTGATGATTCCTCATCTACTTCTGTTGGAAAGAAGCCGCATTGACCTGAAAATCTTTGGCTTGTCTGTGAAATGGATCCTCACCTATGTACAAGTCCAAAATTGATCTACAAAGGAGTTTGCTATCTATACTTCTTGCCTCTTTCCCATCAACTACAAAATTTAGAAAAGAAAAGAATTGCTATAAAATTACATTTCATGCAGTGGAAAATAATATGGAATCAAGTATAAAGCAAATGTAGTTTTTAATTCTATGTTGCTGATTTTTCATTTAAGTACTGTATCCAATACATGTACGTTAGACATAGGTATGGTCCGATCCTCTAAAAATATGGAAAAACTTACAGAAAAATTCACCACTGGACACATACACATACTCCAACACTCACCTCCGAGTAGTAACATAGGTTTTACACATGCAGTAAAAGTAACCTTTGGAGACCAAGATACTTAAATGCAGAAGCAAAAACAGCCTTTTAACCAATTTCGTACTAATCCAAGGTCTCATATTTTACCACAAGATCCTCGTTTGAAATATATGTCTTGCAATTTGCATTATGTAAATCAAGAAACATAGCAGTTTTGTAGATGAAAAAATTGAGGGAATAATGGTCACTTGGACTAACAGATGAATAATCCACACAGAATAAAAGAAAATGAACAGAAAATTGAGAGATGGCTTCATACTTCTAATTTAGAGATAAATAGACAAGAATATCTTACTTGTTGTCTTAAGAATATGGCCTCATTCCCTCGAGAGATCTATCACAGATCCCCTTGTATTTTATATTCATCTTTGAATTGAGAAGTGAACCTGCAATCAACTTGGACATGATATCAAACTAACAACAAAAAATGCCAAACAGGAAACGGGGGTAGGAAAGTTTGGGGCTATAGAAGCTTAAAAACAGGTAAAAAAGGAAAAAAATTGAAGAAAAAGGGAAATTAGTGCAGTGCTGTCTAAACTTAGTCAGAGACTCATGGTTGTCGATTTCAACAATTTAACAACTTATTGCATAGCATATTGTAAATCAATTCTTAACAGCAATTTCTGCAAGAGTCAAAAGCAACACTAAAAACACCAGAAAATGATGACTAATTTGTAACTTCAAAAAGGTATGAAGATGTTAATTAAACATATTAATTTCAGCTTATCAACTGAAATTTACCAACTAATAGGTAGAAGTTGATAGTTAAAAGCATACTTCACCTTTGAAACAGCTATTAATTATCTGATCCCCCAAACTTTTGGAGTCTGCTTCCAACTGACTCTTCAAAAGCACTACGTACAGAATGGATGCTCGATTTGCTCTAGATAATCTGAAGTCTAACAGTCATGCATATACCAGCTTCCATAAGATCATTATTGCGATCCTTATTGTGTTTAAGTTCAGAAACAGATAAATTTCCATATGTCTCACTCAATAGCTTCTTTAAATCATCCCCATTAGCATAAACACCAGCAACAGGACAAAGTTACCTGCATAAAGAAATTGCAATCAACTTTTTTTCCCCCTAAAAATAATTGATTGGATAACTCAATCTACATTCTATAGGCCGTTGCCATAAATGTACCGAAAGCATTCTAGCCACCTATTGTATCCCATGATTCAATACTTTGACAATTAACATCACTTATGCAATAATATAACCAAAACACCATTTAAATTCTAGAAATTCTTGCATGAAAATCTGGGATTTAAAAGCAAATCGAAAGCTGAAACCTTGCAAGTTATCCAGAACTCCAGAACTCCAGAATTCCAGAATTTAGAAACATAAACAAAGCTTCCACAAAAGGGACAGAACATGTTTCTAGTCCAAAGTATCTAAATGGGTCCAATGTACATCTACAGAAATGAAGAATCACATAAAAATAAAAAAGAAGCAGAAATTTTCAAAGAATAAAAAAGTAGCTAATAAAGTTACCAAATGCATAGACATCGACGTTTTTCAATTCCAAGATGCTCTTTTTCCTCGACCCAACTCCGAGAAGTCGAAAGGAGTTTCACAGAACCGTAGGAAAAGAAACTCCGGTCTTTGATTCGACGACTGGATCAGAGCCACCAGCAAGAGAAAGCGAGCCCCAAAGAGGAGAAGAGTGATTCTGGAAGAGCAAATTCGCCGCATTTTGGAGAAATGAGTGCTTGGGGTTCTGCGAGACGAATGCCAAGACCGCCGGCGGGACAAATGTGGCGGAGAAGTGACGAGGACTGGTGGTCCGCTGGCTGCTGTGAGGCGTGCCAGGTAGAAACGTGGGCTGAAAAAACAAGAAGAAGAACGGCGGCGACACGATATTTTAAGTACTTCAATTTTCGGTACTTTTATATTATATATGTAGGAGGTGGCACGTGATCTGCACCTGGATCAGGTAGTTTGTTCGTCAACAGTGAACTAGGAGAGGTTTTTGGGCCTCTTGATAGACCCAAGGGCCCAAATAAGTCAAACTTTGATATTATCCCTTCAACCCAAAGGAGTGACTTCTACATCCATAGTCCATGTCCATTATCACTTTTGTCCTTCGGTTCTCATTTCATTAGTAGGCTTTAGGCTTTGTCTGATTGGATTCAGCCCTTGGGGCAAAGCAAATTGATCCAGGTTTGGCTAAGTCTCCAACTCAAAATCTTAACTAGCCTTCCTAGCTAGCAACTTCTATTTTTTTTAATGAATTACATGCATCAATCAATCTTATATATATATATATATATATATATATATATAATGGATAAATAAGTCAAACAAACAATCAAAAAGTCAATATATAATTGGACGAAGCTCACATTTAATAAGATTTGAATGAAAATGATTTTCTTCTTATCATTGAAACATAATCCATATTCGGTTTGTTAATTTTTACAAGCAAAAACTGAAAACAAAAAGGATCCAAACTTTAGCATCATGATCAATAACTCAGCTAACTTGTAGCCGCACTGTAGTTTATTATAACTCTAACAACCGATAAAATCTCAATTAAACCAGGTGTTCTCAGCGGCTTGTCCTTTCCAAGAAATGGCTCTTGCTCCCTTCTTAACTTTACCAAACCCAACTTTGTCATACATGAAAAATACTAACAACTATATATTTAGGATTTTTTTTTTTATATAAAATTTGTAATGAATGGCTAATTATTTGTCTCAAGATAGACAAGGAAGAAGAAGGGATTTGATCATATGAAAAATACAAGTAGTGTACTAATTATAAATTGAACCAAGCCATGTGTGCCATGGAAAATCGATTTCTTTTTTGTTTTTCTTGTCCTTAATTCATATTCTATTTTCTACCATTTTTTATTGGTGTTTTTTCAACTAAAACATAATATATATATATCTTAAACTATTGCTGACAAAACCAAACATTTCAACCACCTCGTTTGTTTGTGGGAGGATCATCCTGGCTGGAACAAAAGAATCTTAACATTAGACCAGGAAAAAAAAAAAACACGTTTAACATACTTATTTAGAACTTAATATATTATTCTTCTCATCACCGTACATAGACTTTTATATATAGAAGTGTTAATCTATAGCACATGGAGTTTCGTCTAATTATATATTGACAGTTTCACTTGTTTATTATTCATTTTTCATGATGTACTCTATCAAAAATTATTTTATTATGATTGTACTTGTTAATATACACATATTTTCATAAAAAAAAAAGGTGGAGTATAAATTTCAGGCTATTAATTTTTTTTAACAAAAAAAATTATAAAAAATTATTGATATTCGAATTTTAAACTTATTAAATATTAATTTTTAAATTTGATTATATGAATTAATTAAGTTATTCCTCAAATTCGTTTATGAGATTATAATTAATTTGCTTCATATTTGATTCAATGTCAATGGAAATTAATTAACCTTAATTCTATACTTAACTTCAATTGGAGCACCTTCATGCGTAGTTACCTTGATGTCGAGTTGTGTGACCTTGGATTTCCATACGGTAAACTTGACAGATTAATTAATTGATGTAACGTACGAAGAAAGTTGTTACCATATAGAAAAATAATTGATCTTGATTAATCATTGTCTCTGTTTTAATTGTTGATTTTAATGTGTCTACTTTTTGCTACTTCAACAGTATTTGTATATAGAACAAAAAACTATCCCAAGTGATTAAAAATAGAAAATAATTAAAATATATATTAGTTTGTATGATAATAGAATTACATATTTTTTTTTATCATTTTAAAAATTACATAAGCATTGTTTATAATTATTTAAAAATATTTATCTTCATATCCAAACTTACTTTTGTGTATTTACTTCTGAAATCAAGATGCAAAAGCATGATATATATATAAAAAATATATATTTCATCATAATTGATAAAAAAAAAGCTTATAAATAATTACCAGGTGCAGAAGATATATTGCTAATTCTGAATAATTAGAGAACAACT